ATTGACAAGTTGCTACAAGGTTGTTGAGCTCAACAGACTTGTTACAAGTTGTTCCAACAACTTGTTATCGTCCTGCAATTCAACAATTTGTCAACAAGTTGCGAGTGACTCCCTTGTAGCAGCTTGATAAAATAACAGCATTGTTACAACTTGTTGACAAGCTTGCTACAAGCCTGTTGCGAACACTTCTTGTTGACAAGTTGTGAGTGACAACCTTGTAGCAACTTGATAAAATATGAGCATATTGTTATAATTTGTTGACAAGCTTGCTACAAGCCTGTTGCGAACACATTCTTTTTTGACAAGTTGTGAGTGATAACCTTGTAGCAACTTGATAAAATATGAGCATATTGTTATAATTTGTTGACAAGCTTGCTACGAGCCTGTTGCGAACACATCTTGTTGACAAGTTGTGAGATTTTTACGTGTGCAATTTTCTTACTTATGTATTTGATATAATTTATTTTTCAGTTCAAGATGATGCACAGTTTGGCGCCGCGTACGAAAGTCCGTGTTTTGGAGCGAATGAGATCAAATGGTTCGAGCAGTGACGAAGATCCCTTCGGCTCTCCCCGGAAAAATAAACGCGTCATCCAACCCAACTATTGGAAAGCACCCGACACAACGTACGACGTCAATAAACGAAGATTGAAATTCAATGTTTCTGGAACAATTTTTGAAACTTACGAGAAAACTTTGGACCAATTTCCAGAAACAACACTTGGTTGCCCGTTACTGAGACGCGAATTCTACGACGCGTCAAATAACATGTATATCCTACCTTGCGATAAATTTGCATTCGATGCGATTTTGTTCTATTATCAATCGAACGGCATTCTCTCACGGCCGGAAACGGTCGCTGGCGATGTTTTCCGAGAAGAGCTACGGTTTTTTCGAATTAAAGATCACAGGTTTCCGTGTTTGGAGGAATGCGAGAACGAAAAGGAACCATGTTACGAAGAGGATAATTTTAAAAGCAAGGTTTGGGACTTCCTAGAAAATCCTTCATCCGGTATTTGGGCAAAAATATTCAGTTACGTCACAATGTTTCTCATTGTTTTCAGTGTTGCAATATATTTGTTAGAAACTCTGCCGGAATTTTCGAACACTGCGAACCGGGAAAATAGCGTCGAGGGTTCAAAATCAAGTGTTGTTACGTCGTGGTTTATTTTGGACACCGCCTGCATTTCGTGGTTCTCACTTGAGTACCTTCTTCGGATCATCTTCGCGCCGAGTACGTGGTGGTTCGTAAAGTCGCCGTTCGGCTTGCTGGATTTGATTGCAATTTGCCCATTTTACATAACACTGCTTGTGGAGGACTACGTTGGGTTAGACTCGCTTGTGGTCATACGGGTTATAAGAATTACAAAGTCTCTGCGGTTATTTAAAATCTCGCGGTATTACGCAGGGTTGCAGGTCTTTGGTCGCGCCGTTCACGATTGCAGGGACAAATTGCGCGCTCTTGGCATGTGCGTTATAATCGTGGTCATATTATTCTCGAGCTTCATGTTCTTCGCAGAGAGCACCATGGGAAACGGAGATACGTCACAATTTCGCAGCATTCCTGATACGTTTTGGTACACGATCATCACCATGGTTACTGTGGGATATGGTGACGTAGTACCGAAGACGGTGGCGGGAAAAATACTAGGCAGTTACTGTGCGTTATGTGGGGTTATTATTTTATACTGTTTCCCAACACCCATCGTAGTGCTGCATTTTAATAAACTGTACAAGGAGTATGTCGCTTCAAGCGGACAGAATATGAGCAAGGAAGAGAAAGCGCTGGTTATGGCAAGAAGTTGATACTGAATAATAGAGGTCTTATTAAGATTGACGTTCACGATACCGCTAACCTCAAACGGTAAACTTTACATCGTATTTTGAAGTCAACGGTTGGCTGTTCAAAGTCACGGCAACTTGTGCATTACATTTGAAGCAGCAATTAGCCATTGAACTGTTGAAAACTAGTCTGTAGAACTTATCTTCAAATGCAATTGAAGCTGGCCGTCTGCGGTTAGCAAATATGTCATATATCAAATCGACGAGTTTATTTATTTATATCGAACATGAGTAGTTTATAGCGCAGTCACAAGTTCAAAACAGTCATTTGAAATATTAGAAAGTGTGTTTAAAAATTAGGTGCTATATAGAGCGGTATATAGTAGAACTTTTAGCATAGTTTGTGGTGTTTTAAAATCACTTTAGACTTGAGTCTATGATTATACAATTACTTTATGGTTTCCGTGTTTGGATGGCCTGATCCAAACACGCGGGAATGTTGCGAGAGTTAAGAAAAGCGCGCGAAAGCACGAGCCGAAGGCGAGTGATTTTGCGCGC